AGGAGATGCCATGGTGTAGAGCCACCCTAATTTGGTGAACATCACTTACCTCTGAACACAGGGTGTCAGGTGCTTGACACCTGCATAAAGGTGGAGAGTTGTGCTGCTGACTCACTTGGGCAGCCGGAGCAGGTGTGTCATGTAAGTTCCAACCATAGTGTATACAGAGGTTTGGAATCTCTGTAGCATGGATGAGAATGAGGGGTAGGCCACAGAGAATCTACAGGGAGAAAAACATTAGGAAAAGAGCCAAGCTGAGGCTGAGGTTTACAATCACTGTTTAAGTTAACAATGAAAGAAACCCTGGGAAGAGAGTAAGATTGGACAGCCTTTGGAAGACAGTGGGAATGCCACGTTTTAACAGTTGTCAAGAAGTTTGGGGGGCCTCTAGAGAAATGAAGGTTCTCATTGTGCTATGCTATGGCCTATCTGAGCTCCCACACAGATCTCCTGTCTCCCCTTCCCCAGCCCTTGTGGCCAACATTCCATTCACTGCGGGGGATGGTCCCCGGCCTCCCAGGCTATGAGATCTCCTTTTCTTTCCCTCCCCTCCCATGGCCAGCTGCCTGTCACTCTCGAAGTTGATGGGGAGGAAGGGGAAAATGCTGAGGCCTGCCTATCCAACCACCTCCTTGAGCCACCAGTTTTTGAGGTGGGGAGTGAAGAAGTGGTGATCATGCCTACGTTTCCCCCATGTATCTGAGGTTATTCCTGATTTCTGCCCTTAAACAGCCTCTGCTGCTGTCCAAGATGCTGCTGCTGTCGCCCTGTGATCTGATTCAGAGCCTGTTGAACTCAATGGAAAGGCTCCCACAGACTTCAGTAGCTTTTGGCTGCGAGATAGTAACTCTTAGCAGGTGATGAGGTCTCTAGAAGGGAAAAAGGAGAGGGAAGGTTCATACCGGGCCAGAAGCATGGCATTAAAATAATTTGCTTCCTAAACTGGACTGATTTTGTTCACTCTAACCCACCGTTCTCTGCAGAGGCCTGACTACCTCTTAAAATACAGCAGAATATGCAGCAGTATGGATTGTGTTCCCTGCCCTGTGTATACAGACTCCGTTTGAGTATGAATATGTGAAGCAGAGTGGGTTTGAAATACAGATCGAGAGGAAGTACTGATAGCTGCAAATTTGCAGTTAGCTAGAGAGCTGCTCTATGCTGTCTAAATGGCTGCTGCTTTAGTGTCCGCCAGTTTCGTTTCAGCATTTTGGAAGCAAGTTGGGGATGTGTCAAAGGAACAGAGCAAACTTTGTGACTGAGTGACTAGAAATAAAGCTAGTTGCTGGAATGTTTGTGGTTTCCGACAAAACAGAAGCAGCTAATGATATCAGCAGAGTTTTCCGTTGAACCTGGTGTGTTTTATTAATGAGCAGCTGGTTGGTTTTTGTTTCGAAGCAGTAAGCCGCAGAGCAGGATGTGGATTTTTTTATTGCTTACACTGTGTGGAGGGTAAATGGAATACAAATAAAATGCAGTTGAATTCAGTTATTGATGATCCTCTGAAGTATTGCAGTTATTTTTGGTGACCCTTCACATTTTTTAGGTTTTGGTGCATGAAGTGAGCTTTTGCTTTCTGCAAAGTGGTTACTCGTTATCAGATGTCTTATCTCACTGCATTTGTCATGTCACGTCTTGGTGTTCTGCTCGTCTTGTTTCTCAATGTAGGTAGGGCACAGTACTGCGCACACACAATGCCTTATCTGGTCTGCTCGTAGTCACTACATGCACATTGCACTCACTTTGTGGTGTAAATGACTATACAAAGCCATGTAGAATTAGGTCCTTAATTTAAGCTATGAGTAAATTGATTTAAGAGTGTACAAACCTTTTTAATATAGCAGTGTAAGAGATTCTTGTAGACTTTTGCACATTAGTGCATGTTCTTGAACGCTTACTAATGACTATAAAAATGAGAGGCATAACATTGCACAGAACTTCGATTTGCAAAAGCTGATGTTGCTGCAAATGAAGAACCTCCTTTGTGATAATAAAGAGCTGGCAGTATTAAGGCTTGTCTAAAGTACAGATTACGTCGGTATAACATATGTCGCTCAGGGGTGTGAATAAGCCACACCCCTGAGCGATGTAAGTTACACCGACCTAAGCGTCGGTGTGGACAGCGCTATGTTGGCAGGAGAGCTTCTCCTGCCGACATAGCTACTGCCTCTCGCAGCATAGTCGGCACAGAGCGTCTTCACCAGATGCGCTACAGCGCTGCCCTCTGCTGGACTCTGTCCAATTTGTCCACATCCCTTCTGTAGTGGGGGGACCAAAACTGGACACAATACTCCAGGTGTGGCATCACCAGTGCCAAATAGAGGGGAATAATCACTTCCCTTGATCTGCTGGCAGTGTTCCTACTAATGCAGCCCAATATACCGTTAGCCTTCTTGGCTACAAAGGCCCACTGTTGACTCATATCCAGCTTCTTGTCCACTGTAATTTCCAGGTTCTTTTCTGCAGAACTGCCGCTTAGCCAGTCGGTCCCCAGCCTGTAGCAGTGCATGGGATTCTTCTGTCCTAAGTGCAGGACTCTGCACTTTTCTTGGTGAACCTCATCAGATTTATTTTAGCCCAATCCTCCAATTTGACTAGGTCGGTGGTTTTCAAACTTTTTTTTTTTTCACAGACCACTTGAAAATTACTGAGGGTCTCGGCATACCACTTAATGATTTTTCCAAATGTTGTTTGTACTATTAGCTCACTGTTGTAAAGCACTTTCAATAGAAGCGCTATATTAAAAAAACGTAATAATTAGCTTTTTTTGTTCTACAAATAAAAGCACACAACTCATATTTTAATATCAGTAGTCTTACCTTTCTAATGTGATGGATTTGTCCTCTCTCCACTGCCGTTGCAGCCTCTGAGCTGGGGCTGGCAAGGGGGGGCGGTCTCTCCCCAGCAGCCACAGCACTGGAGCTGGGGAAAATCGCCTCTTTCTCTGACCACTGCAGCCCTGCATGTCCCAAATCCACACCACCACCACCCTTCTCACCCCACTGCCCCCTCCCACCTACTCCTTATTCCCCCCGAGGCCACCACCTCACCTTACACGTGCGTCTTCTCCAGGGTGGCCCTTCATTCTCTTGTGTGCGGCCGCCCAGGTGCACACCTTAGAGGGAACAATCCGCAGACCACAGTTTGAGAACCTCTGGTCTAGGTCACTCTGGACCCTATCATAGAATATCATGGAATATCAGAGTTGGAAGGGACCTCAGGAGATCATCTTGTCCAACCCCCTGCTCAAAGCAGGACCAATCCTCAATTTTTGCCCCAGATCCCTAAATGGCCCCCTCAAGGATTGAACTCACAACCCTGGGTTTAGCAGGCCAATGCTCAAACCATTGAGCTATCCCTTCCCCCACAAATCCCTACCCTCCAGCGTATCTACCTCTCCCCCCAGCTTAGTGGCATCCACAAACTTGCTGAGGGTGCAATCCATCCCATCATCCAGATCATTAATGTCATCAAGGGCTCTTGTCTGGAATGGGTGAACACCTTCAGCTTGCTCCAAATGTCTACAAAGCACTGAAATAAACAAGCGACCAAAGCCATCATAGCACTAAGGCTCCCTCCTGTCTAAGGGGCCGAGGATGTCTGTTGCACTCAGACCCTTCTTGAACACCTGATTAAAGAGATTTTTGAGATGCCTTTTCACCCAAGTTGAGAATGTTACATTCTGAAGTACTGCGCACTATCGTTGAATAAGCTTGTATAATATCTGCAATCTGATTGACTCAACAGGGAGCCAGACCTTTGTAATTCTCCCATCATATGCATATGTCAGGCCTGTGCAATCGCTTCAGCCAGATTGCAAACCAAGAACTTATTTTGTTTTTAAAATTTCATTGTATACATTCCTAGGAACATTATGAATTAAAATGTGTTTAAAAGAGCTGAATCACTTATGCCTTTCCTTCTCCTTAGGTGACCCAACTGCTCATGCTGCTGCCACTCTTTTGGGGGGAGGGAGGAAAAGGTCTTCTGGGTTGATCCTGTTAAATGTGGGGCCTGCTTTCAGCCCAGACCTCCCTGCAGAACTTCTGTCCTTTGTCCCTTCCCACCCCCCTCTGTTATTCCATCCTGCTTATGCTGTTTGAATGCTGGGCTCAAGCAATGCAAAGCATTCCGAAGGACCTTGACTTGGCTCCAGCTCTGCTGCATGTATCTGCTGCAGATCCAGGGCTGGAGCCTTTGATATTGATTGATGGTAGCAGTAAAAGGGGAAAGCACTGCTTTAGGAAGGGATTTTCAAAGGCACTAAGGGGAGACAGGCACTCAACTCCTATTGACTTACAGTGAGCGTTCAGTGCCTAACTGCCCTTTGTGCCTTTGATTTCTAAGGGGAAGATTTAAATATGTCTAAATTTAAATAAATTTAGTCTTTAAATATGGACATTTTTCAAGCGTTTTCTCCCCATTGCTTCCTGTGCTGGACCCTGGCCCAACCCAGTAATAGCAGCATGTCAGGCTGTGCAGGGCCTTGTGGTCAAAGGCTGGAAAAGCACATTGCAAGCTGGACTGAAGCATCCCAAGCTGTGTCACAGGGTAAACTGGGGTAGAGCTGTAGGGAGAGGAACATGACTGAGCAAGGAGGTATGCACAGGGTCACCCAAAACCACCCATTTCTTCTCTTCTCCATCCCACCTCACCCCCTTCCCCCAGGCCAGCATCAGCAACTGGGAGAGCTTGGAAAAAGGGGAGGAGAAAGTGAAATCAGATATTTCTTTGACAGAGAAGTTTAATAAAATAGATAAGCACTTTCTTGTTTAAAGCTGTATGCAGATGCTTATATTTAACAGCCCCGTGCTCTCTGCAGTGGAGCAGTATTCTCTCTGGGGTGGCTTCATCAGTTGACATGTTTGTACTTCTTGGACACCCACATATCGATACCTATCTTTCCACTGCATTACTTTTTTACAGTCCATGAGCGAAGTGTATCACTTGGAGTTCAGTCGTGGCACAGAAGGTGACGCGCTTGCTCTTTTGTTTTACAGTTGTTAGATCCTAACCGAGAACAGAATGGGGAAGCAGAACAGTAAACTGCGACCTGAGGTACTCCAGGATCTCCGGGAGAACACCGAATTCACAGACCATGAGCTTCAGGAGTGGTACAAAGGCTTCCTAAAAGATTGCCCCACGGGTCATTTGACCGTTGAGGAATTCAAAAAGATATATGCAAATTTTTTCCCCTATGGTGATGCGTCGAAGTTTGCAGAGCACGTGTTCCGCACTTTTGATACCAATGGTGATGGGACGATTGACTTTAGGGAATTTATCATTGCGCTGAGCGTCACTTCTCGGGGAAAGCTCGAACAGAAGCTGAAATGGGCATTTAGCATGTATGATCTTGATGGCAATGGATATATCAGTCGTGGCGAAATGCTTGAAATCGTGCAGGTGAGGAGTGGTCTCATTCTTTTGTAAAACTTACCTTTTGAAAAAATTACCATTTCAATTAATATTGCTGGAACCACTTGCCTGCTGAGCAAGAGACTTCAGGTCTAGGTAGAGGCGCACCCTAACAGCAATTTTTCTCGCTGCTGGTACTTCAAAGGAGTTGCAGCCAGTGCATAGGTTCTGGAGCAGTTCTTTGCACTGTCATTCCAAATGGCACTGCAGAAAATAATTCTACCCACAAACTACAAATGTGCAGAGGCTCTGAGGAGAAATGGGCCTGAACCAAAACCCCAGTCACCTTGTCTGCCTCCTATCACCTCCAAACCTCTGTCCCCTCCCCCCGTTTGAGGTGTTCAAAATTGGTACCAGATCTGGATCCAAATTTTGGAAACAGCCCCAGGGATTATAATGAATTGAACCATAATTCCAGATATGAATGCCATATACTCTGAAGTTCAAATTCTGTGGTTTGAGCCCTACTCTGCTTTTAAAGTGAAAGGCCTTAAACTCCTTTCACCTCACTGCAGTACAGGGGAAGGTGCTGTATAGCTCCTTTCACCCCCCAGCTGTGTAAGAAGCTTCCGAGGATTGGTAATGTCAGAAAGAGCCTTTCCCCCCTAGATCACCAATTTAAATCCCAGTTGTGATTGGTAGTGACAGAAAACACAGACCAGCTGATGTTCAGCCTCTGACGTTATTTGGTGCTCTCAGGCCGGTTCCTACTGGACAGGTATTCAAACCACAAAAGCCACCATCATAGCTGACCTCTCTGAGTGCTTCAGCCAGTGTTGCCAGGAACAGAATTTAGCTGGAGAGTGAACAATTCTTTTCTCCCCCAAGAAATGCTTCCTCTAGAAGAGGCTGGGGAGAAATTAAATTGGCAGGGGAATTTGCCTTGCCCATGCTGTACCTCATGAGTTCAGTGGGTAACAGGTCTTCACTCTAGTAAGTCCATCACCTTTCCAAAGCATGGAAATGTCGCTACCTCCCAGCCCATTGCACACAAATAATTACTGAAAAGTCGTAAGCGCCTGTGCGGGTGCGTTAAAAGCCATCCTGAAGCAATGAGACCATTCCCCAGACTCAAATGGAAGGAAGGAAAATTACACGTGGGAACTTTTTTCATATATATTTTAGCTCTTGCATTTTAGTGTGTTAACTTAAGGACTGACTTGGCTACTAGATTGACTAACATAGTAGTTGTGTTGCTTTTCTAAATCAGAAGTAAATGCTGGAAAAAACAGATCAAGTTTGTAATTCCTTTTATTTGTTTTGGTTTATAGGGGTTTTCAGCTGTCTGCCAAGGTCATCTGCCTTTGTTTATTGATGAAGGCTTAAGTTCCTTTCCTCAGTCCTGATGCTTTATAGCTTTTCATTATTTTTTTATATGTATTTAGGCAATCTACAAAATGGTGTCATCTGTAATGAAAATGCCAGAAGACGAGTCCACTCCGGAGAAACGAACAGACAAAATCTTCAGACAGATGGACACAAACAATGATGGTATGATTTCCACCAGAAGACCTTACTTAGTTCTTAGAAATAAACATGCATTTTCTGATACCATACTGATAACACTTAGCTTTTAATTAAAAGAAAAAGTTGCTTCCAGGGAGGCTTCAGTTCTGTCCGTCATCTTATAGTGGTGTCAGTCACAGTAACATCTGTCTGAATAAAATAAAGGCGCATGAGCCTTTGTGTTTGTAGAAACCAACAAGGTCCCTATTTTCCTGACTTGTACTGATCTTTTTTGCAAAAAAGTGTGCCCTTTATTTGCGACACTCACCCTTTCAGACCCACAATCTGCTGACAAACCAAGCTAGTGAAATTAGCAGTAGGCTAAGTGCGTGTGCATCTGAAGTAAGGCCCGTCCCCAGGCTTGGTCTGCTGTTTGTTACTATACTGCCCTGCCCTCTGATCTCTTTCTCCATACACACCTGCGTGGGAAATCTTTTCTCAAACCGTATCTGCCCTCCACCCATGGAATTAGGCACCCTGTTGGACTCCAGGCAGCTCAGCTGCATGGCCATCGGTCTGTAGAACACCTTGCTTCTCTACATTGCCTTTGCACCGTCGGTGGGTAACGAATTGTGGTATGGCACAGGAAAGGCAACGGGGAGCCTTGCTCTGGAGCGCAAAAGAAAAGACAGACTATGAGTGGGGCTGAGTGATGGCAAAATGGTAACAGAGGCAGGGAGGAGCTAGATTGTAGAATGAGCAAGGGAGAAAGTGAGCAGAGGAAAATAGAACAAGGACAAAGTCTGGCTCTCCTTACAATTCCCTCTTGTGAGGCTACTCGCATGCATGAGGACAGCAAGATTTGGCCTCAAATTTGTACCTCCATTCTTCTCTCAGCCCTGCAGTTTTATATTCCTGCTTTATGCAGCTTTAGATTTTTCTAGCTCCATTCAGCTGTAGAAGTGATTATGTAGGGCCAGATTTTTTTGAAAGGCAGGGGTTTGTGCTTGCAAAATTGTGCCTCTGAAAATCTGGCCCTGAACTGCACTCTCTAATGCCGCATTGTCCAAACCCAGCACTTAGATCTATGGTTTGCATAGAAAAGCTTTGATGGCCCAGGAATACAACAGTGGGCCGTGAGAGTAGGGAGCTGTGGGGGATGCTGTTGGGATGATGTGTCTAACGCAGAGAGTTATCAAACTTGCAGCCTTTGCCTCTGTGGTCCTGACACGCTCCCCAAAAGTTGCTTCAGGCTGCAGGTTTGTTTTCGTTACATCAAGAGATCGCTTCATTACAACGTATACCAATATCAGTGGAGGCAATACCAGTATTGCAGTTTGTGTAATGATGTGATGAATTAATTTACCAGGCACCTTTAGCCACTCCTTCTACCCACTAACTCCCCAGACTAAAATGTGGGAATAGAATCAATCGTTTTCCCCGCATCACACTGCCAAAGAAATGGTTCCACCTTGTCCCATCAGTTGTGAAATTTTCCTTGTAAACTACCTTGGTTAGAGGCCCAAGATGGGCAGCCTTCAGTCTTGGGTCTGCGACAGCTCTTAGGGTATGTCTGCATAGCAAAGGTAGTACACAGGCTAGCCTGCCCAAGCTAGCTTGAATCCAGCTAGGATGGCTAACAATAGCAGGGAAGACAGCACAGTGCTGTCTTTGGAGCAAGCTGACAAGCAAAGTACATACAGGGCCTGTGCCACCAGGCTTGTGCTACCCAGGCTGAAGCCCACACTGCACTGTTTTCATTGCTCTTGTTAGTTGTGTGAGCTGGACTCACGTTTGTTCGTGTAGGCTCACTCACTTGTGGCTTTTGCTGTGCAGACATGCCCTTCAAGAGTTTAAAATCTGATATTTCAGGGTGCAACAGGGGTAGAAACAGGAGCTTTTGCCTATTGGAAAAGGAGAGGTGTTCAGTTTCTCTGTGGGGCCCACCCAGCAGTTGCTTCTAGCCCTGAAAAGGCCTGAGATATCTGACTTTTAAAGTTATGACCCTTGGGTGCAGAAAAGCTGTTCTGTCTTATAGATTTGTATGGCTCCCTCTGAGTCATGTTCTGTTGAACTGACAGTAGCTAGAGCCCTGGGGTAAAATCCTGGCTTTGCTGAGGTCCACAGAGTTTTGCCATTGACTTCAATGGGGCCAGGATTTCACTCTTTGGCTCTACGTGTGGAGGGATACAAAACTAAAACATGTAAAGTAGTCCTTCTGTGACATGTGTGGCATGCAGAGATACATGATAAGGCAATGTGGCAAAACCTGGCAATTGCATAACTAGCAAAATGTTACTCCTGTACGTAATGTATTGCTAAGTAATACAGTGTACATGCTGAGAGGTGTAATGGAGCAGTGCTTACATTTCAACCCCTCTAACTGTCCCTCCTGCATTTCCAAACAAGAGAGAGGAGAATAGCACCTTGTGTGTGTGCTTCATTGTTAGGACTTGAATGGCTTCTCATTGTCTGTTGTGCAGTGGGGCAATGCTGCCAGATTTTGCTTTGTACTGTGCTTTGTTCTGGAGTGTTGCACACAAACAAACAAACAAAATCAACTTGTGCAGAGTTTTGTGAAAACTTTCAGACTAGCAAAAATTCTTCTCAGACATGCCAGTGTTTTAACAAAAAAACAGTTCACCCAGAATATAAGTGCCTTGTCTTGCTTTGGGCCCTTGCATATCTCTGCTTTCCTGGCACATGACATACCTTGGTCAGGTGAGCTAATGCTGGTACTTGACCACTGAATCCAGCCCTTGTCCCCACAATAGGCTGAGGCCATCTCTATATGCATTTTCTCTAATATTTTTAATAAAAACAAATGTTACACATCTGCCCCCTCCCAGGGCCTTACACTTGTAGCCAAAAGGGATAACGAGCAAAAGTCAAGTGCACATCTGAATCTGTGGTAGGAAGCTTCCATTTGGAACAATAAAAGGTATGTTAGTCTAAAAAAAAACAACAACCCCACAGTAAAAATAGAGTGTAAGAACAGATACATCTATAATTCATTGAGACACTCTGATACTCTGGGAATGAGTGTTGTAGGAAGAAAATGTGTAAATTAATACCGTACTCTGGAGTACGTAACTAAACACATGCAGGGAGCAATTAAAAACAAAAAAAAGCAGTATGAGCCAAAAGTAGTGCTAAATGTTAGAGAGTATAACCTAAGGGGTGGAACTGAAATGTAATGAGGTGGTTCTCACAGTGGAATGTTTCTGTTTGAGTATGTTCATTGTACGTGTGTTTGAAGTCTCAGCTGAGGATCTAAGCTAAAATTCTACTTCCTAATACATGTGCAGTGTGATTGGGGCTTCGGTATAAGTGATCACATAAGATTATGCAAAATGTGCCACACTGTTCTGCAAAGAGTTATTTCTATTTTGCTAAGAGGAAATTATGTGGTGGTTATTTCTGTAATGGGGTCAATTTAAATTGGGTAAGAATTGTCTTGGAATGTTGTGGTATATAATTATTATATGAAATATTGTATTTCAATCAGATGTAATGTAAATGGACATGACTGCGAGAATATTTTGTGTAATAGACAATCCCAGTAGCAAATATTTTTATTAAAAAGTATAAAAACCTGCTGATTAAACAAATTACACATATAAGAGACTTCTTTTATAGAGTATTTGGGTCATTAGCATCTACTAATAACTATTCCAGATCTACAACTTTAGACGTGTAAGTAGGTTCATTGAATTCAGGACTGTTCTAAACTTTGCCAGCTTGTAACAAGCCTTGAGATTATAAAAGTCAGAAGGCATTTCAGGAATTCAGCACACTTCAGTCTGCTGGGGAGGTTACATTGACTCAAGGGGGGAATCATCAAGCCCAGTGAAATCATCCTAGAAAGATCCATTTCATTTCTCATAAATGTTGTTTTGTTGCTTATTTGTCTCCATCAGTGGATGTGTAACATACTATACAAGAGAATACCATTGCACATGCATCAGATGCAAAGTATTGATCAGAAAAATATAATATTTCAATACTGTTGTTCAAATTACGGTTAATGAAGGCGATCCTGAAAGCCTCTGTTGGCAGCACTTTCACTGAGCTCAGTGGAGTTCTGCCATCCCAGGGCTTGTAGGTGTGGTCCCAGAGTGAAACTGTCGTAAGAGAACAGTGCTAGACTTTTCAGCAATGGTGGCTAACAAATAATTACAAGCGGTGCAAACTTTGGTCGTTTTGATTAATGGACACCTTTGTGAGTTTCAGGTTTTAGAAGCCATTCATAGCCACAAATTTGTCTATGGTTTTCAACCCTAACCCCATAAATCAGCCCAAATTGGTGAAGTTGGCCCAAGTTTCAGGTTTGTAACAAAGCCTGAAAAAACTAATTCATAGGGGTCTGATTGCAAAGGTTTTGCCAGCTCAGCAAACAGGGCATCACTTCAGCATCCCTCAAGGCCTGTTTCTTTCACCACAGCACAACTGACCATCGCAATAATTCACACATGTAGAAGAAACTACATCACGTTGCCCAGTGTTGGGACACTGTTACATGATCACCTATCAGTGCATATGGTGCAAATATCCTGGGTCCAGTGTGGTTTAAAATGTCGCCCTTGATTGAAGCACCATTTATAGACTAGTTTCTGTGTATCTTTAATGAATGTTTGTACTCCAGTTTTGTATTAAGCCAGTTCTCTGCTTAAATTGTTGCCCTAAGGTGGCATTATTAGTACAGTTGTTTTAACTTGATAATGTCCCTGTTTAATGTCAAATGTAAAGTAAAATATTAGATTTGTTTACTTGAAAAAATACTGCATCCAGGTTTGAGGAGGAAGGGAGTGCGTGGTTCCCCTGCACTGTAGCCAATTTCACCCTAAATCCACTTGTTGTAGGATATGTGTTTAAGCTTTCTGTGAAAGTTTTATTTTTAAGCTCTGTTTGATCTTGCAATGCAAGTGACGTTTCTGTTTTCTCCCTTCAAGGTAAACTATCCCTCGAAGAGTTTATTAAAGGTGCCAAGAGTGATCCCTCTATTGTGCGATTGTTACAATGTGATCCAAGCAGTGCAAGTCAGTTCTAATTAAACTCTGGACAGTTTGCAAAGAAACTGCTGGCTTGTCGTTCAAGCTTTGCTCGCAAATGGATGCCTTCTCAATCATTCCTCAACTTGCTAGTGGATAAGATTCCATTGCCAGATTTTGTGTGTGCACACACGCGTGCGTGTATCAGAGTGAGGACTGCTTCACTCCTCTCACTAACACAAGTGCAACATTCCTTTTGCAGTTCTGTTTTTCTCCCCCTTCATCCCCTCCGATGTTACCACTCACTCTACACGGTTAATGTAATTGAAAGGTATGTTTACATGCAGATACGAAGAGTTCAAATTTCTGGTGAGATATCCCATCTTTTAGTCAGTAAGAATGATGACATTCTAGTAGCCGCAAGAAGATACTAGATAGAATTTTTATCCAACATAGCAGATGGTAGGTCATCACTTTTGAAGCAAAATGTGAACTGAATGGAGTAGAAAGAAGAAGAAAAAAGCTTTTCTTGGCATGGTTCCAAATTGTCTGTGCTTTTGAGGAAAATTGCTTGCACTTATCTAATTGTCTACTTTCTTTTAATATATATATAAATTATATATATATATGGTGAAGTAAAATTTAATATGTAGGTCAGGTATTTAATGCATAAAGTAGAATTCAAGCTTAATTTCTTCTTGTTTGTGATTTATTCAAATCTCGAAGATTGTTTTTGAGATATTTATGCATTAGCAAATTGCTGTTAAAGAAAATGCATGACTAGCAATTTATAGCTATTTCATTCTGTTTCATTACTGAATGCAAATATTTGTTCATTTTTACTGTTTATCGTTCCAGCGTTTACTGTATTAACAAAAGAATAAAAGGAATAAATCCTCATTTTGTATTTCTCAGTGGAGTCCCACTTAGTGGTTGTTGCAGCATTAACTGGCTTTTGAGTGACATGAGGTGATGTGACTCACATTGCTATTCTAAACCTTGCTATGCTCTCCATTCTTTTGCTGTCAATATGTTAATAGTCTTGTGCAATCCAGTGTTATTTAATATCTGCCTAATGCCAAGAAATATTAATTGAAATAAAAGACTACTTTTCTGGTCAATAACTGTCTTATTTTAACCAGTGTACAAGTTACTCTTCCATAGTTGTGCATGTGATGAATATAGTCAGGACAAGAATACTGAAAGCTTTCCTGCCCTTCCCTCCCTTACATCCCCTCATCTAGGGGAGGGGAGGCAACCTATTCCCCGCTGTCCTTCCATGGTTGGCATCTCTGCTGAGATTAGCCAACAAACGAGTATTTTAGTGCCCACTATGTTGATGGTCCTTGGAAACCCTTCCCCAAAGGAAACCGGACTGAGACTATGACACTGATTTCACACAGTCCACTGAAGATCTGATAGCTCCAAGTCACCGCTGGCCTAGGCTGGATTTAGAGTTGGCTGGTAGATAAAGCATCAGGTACTGGAAGTCAGGAAACATAGGTTCTGTCCCTGGCTTCTGCCATTGACTCGCTGTGTGAGTTCCTGCTTCTTCTCTCTGTACCTAAGAAGCACTGTATCAGTGCTCAGTATTACTAATATTGCTCATTAACATAATGGTGTGAGGCTCTATGTCCTATTACGTGTGCGCAGTCCCCCAACAAACCTGCGGCTAACAAATGCAGCCTTTTTTATTGAAAGAAAAATGGACCAAAGTTCTTTTCCAGTATACAGAGGATCTGTGCAGCCAGAAGTACATTTCAGTGAGGTATGTGCCACTGAAACAATATCTGGCATCAATGACATAATATGCAAAGCTTTCCTAGACCCATGTTTATAAAGCACATGCTGAAGTACAGCAAAGTGCTTAAGCATCTGTTTAAGTCAATTAAAGTCAATGGGACTTCAGCGTGTGCCTAAAGTTAAACACGTGCTTAAGTGTTTAGTTGAATAGACAAAGTCTGTGGAATCAGGATACAAGATAGCAGCAATTGGGTGTTTGTATGCACCTTCACTGTAAAAAATGAATTGGGAAAGAGGGCCACTTACAATGCCCGATCAGAGATACTGCTGGATGAAATTTGGCGTAACGTGACCTTTTACCAAACCTTAGCCTGAGAAATGTTTCCATGATTTTATTTTTTTTTAAGAATTTCAGTTTGAACCTCTTAGAAAAACAAACATTCCCCTAAAAAGAAAAGGAGTACTTGTGGCACCTTAGAGACTAACCAATTTATTTGAGCATGAGCTTTCGTGAGCTACAGCTTCCCCTGTCACCCTGAAAGAAAAAACTAACTAAAACCGATCTGCTTGCCTTTTCCTTGGTCACCCTGGAAGAAATGCTTAAAGTAAACCACATGAACAGTAACAAACAAAATGATGTTTTCGATTCTTCCAGTTTTAATAAGTGAAGATTGTAAGAGAGGAAAGAACTAGGGTTTTTTAATTAACATTTTTCTCTTTTTAAAATCATTTAACAAACAAAAAACATCCTCACCGATGTTACAAATGGCACCTTAGATTGGGTTTATTATCGGTAATTTTCACTCTGCGATAAGTGTCCAAGTCAAGTGAAAAAACAAATAACTAAACAGTTTCATACTTCTTTTCTAGTCTATTTCATGGTCAAGTTCTCATGCCTAGAATGCCGCAGCATTTGAATTGTAAAACACTGTTGCATTAATGACATTTTTGCATGTAATTGTAGCTTAACATTGAGAGACACAAAGTTAAAGTTCTCACAGCAGCCATAGCTCAAGCAAATTGCACACATTTAAAATCTATAGTGTGTAACTAAGCAGAATTATGCCAGTGAAGAGGACTATTTTTGAATTCCCTGTCTGCTTTGTATGATTTTTTAAAATATTTTGGTTATGTGTTTAGTCAAAAATCACAAAATTTTGTAAGGATCAGGTAAGCAAAATTATTAGGATCTGATAAATGTCAGACTGATGTGTGTCCCATCCATTCTTTCCTCTTGTTGTCGTTTTCTTTGTTCTGCCATTGCGCATTTCCTTCCCTTTCTGTTCCCAGATTTCTCGTTCTCTGTAAGGACAATCAGACCTTAGAGATCATCAAAGATAAACCTTCATAGAGAGAGTCAAAAAATTTCTGCCTAGTAATCTTTCCCATGGAAAATGTTCATCTCCACAAAAAAATTTTCAGTTGGAAAAATGAAAATTTGGGGGGACTTTTTGAAATAAAACATTTTTCATTTCAATACTTTTCAGAATTTTTCATTCAGTGAAATTTTTCAATCTTTCAACTTTCCGTCTTGGTTCAGAACTCATTCCAAAATGTCAGCCTAGCCCACGGGATGAAAATTCTATTTCCCTCTGCAAGATTGCTGCAGCTTGCTGGGATTCTGCCCAGCTACATTCAAACTGGGATTTTGTCCCATTCCCAGATTTTACTGGCTGCCTGAGCATGCTCTGTTCCCCTCTAGCTCTCCCTGAATTACCTTCCCTCTCCTTCCCGACATCATTTTCTCCCCTTCTTGCATCATCCTGATGCTTTTTTTAGTCCCCTCCACCCATCACCTCTGTAGGTCCTGTGTGTCCCCTTTCACTAGTTTCCTGATTTGTATGCACTAGCTACTATAGTACAATGTATTATGAGGAGTTCAAAATCCCAGAGCTTCCCAGTCTTGTGCTACCTAGTCTACTCATCCCGTTATTAATAATTAGTGTGACAATTCATCAGCTCAGATGCAGACTCTATTATACGGTATTACTGCACTGTACCTAGGTATGGTTGTGTAAGAAATTCCAGGGTTTTGGATACTGTGACCCGTAGAAAACCCTGAGAGCTACTAAATTATTTGGCAAATGATACAACATGCAATATGAGACCATTCTCTCATTCAACCTTAACTCTGCAGTGCTGACGGTTGTTGATGAAACATTAAATTAAAGAAAGGAATAGGTTTTGCATGTCTTTTATCATTATTTTTATTACATTCAGGACAAAATAGGTCAATACTGTTTTCTGAGCAAATTGGAATTACGTGATCTTGCTAGGGTTCTCCATATTTTTGCGCTGTAAAAAAACAAATGAGAAAAATATCTTGCGATGGGGAAGTGCAGACATTAGTTCTTTAAAACACTACATGGAGATGCCTGAAAGGGGCCTGAAATTCTGAAAGTACTACGCCCCAGCCCTCTGAAAATCAAGTACCCTTCAGGTCTCAAGTTCGGCACTAAAAATTGGCCATTAGTCACTTTTGAAAATCTTGGCCATGGTCTCTAAGGAGGCTTTCAAAGGGATGAGCTGCTATCCTGACACACACTGGGGGATGAGGGAAAGCAGTGCCTATACTAGACTGGTCACCCAAAATGTGCTTCATTGTCATTGTTCCAGATGACATTCTAAACCAGGGATGAAATCTTGGCCCTACTGAGGTCAATGAAAAGCTCTCATAAGAGCCAGAAGTTCACTACAGATACCTATCACTTTGGGGTAAAATTTCCAAAAGCACCTGAGTCCTATTGAAAGCCAGTGGGACTTAGGCTCCTAAATTGCTTAAGTCCAGATCCTCAATAGTATTTCGGACCCAGCCTTTTAAAAGTGTTTAGGTGTTGCACACAGCATTGCAATGCCTAGCTGATTTAGAAACCTAAATTTTATTTTCAAAAGGGATTCAGCCACTTAGGCATGTAAAAAGAAAAGGAGTACTTGTGGCACCTTAGAGACTAACCAATTTATTTGAGCATGAGCTTTCGTGAGCTACAGCTCACTTCATCAGATGTATACCGTGGAAACTGCAGCAGACTTTATATATACACAGAGAATATGAAACAATACCTCCTCCCACCCCACTGTCCTGCTGGTAATAGCTTATCTAAAGTGATCATCAGGTGGGCCATTTCCAGCACAAATCCAGGTTTTCTCACCCTCCACCCCCCCACACAAATTCACTCTCCTGCTGGTGCTAGCCCATCCAAAGTGACAACTCTTTACATAATCAAGTCGGGCTATTTCCTGCATAGATCCAGGTTTTCTCACATCCCCCCCACCCCCATACACACACAAACTCACTCTCCTGCTGGTAATAGCTCATCTAAACTGACCACTCTCCAAGTTTAAATCCAAGTTAAACCAGAACATCTGGGGGGGGTAGGAAAAAACAAGAGGAAACAGGCTACCTTGCATAATGACTTAGCCATTCCCAGTCTCTATTTAAGCCTAAATTAATAGTATCCAATTTGCAAATGAATTCCAATTCAGCAGTTTCTCGCTGGAGTCTGGATTTGAAGTTTTTTTGTTTTAAGATAGCGACCTTCATGTCTGTGATTGCGTGACCAGAGAGATTGAAGTGTTCTCCGACTGGTTTATGAATGTTATAATTCTTGACATCTGATTTGTGTCCATTTAGTCTTTTACGTAGAGACTGTCCAGTTTGATCAATGTACATGGCAGAGGGGCATTGCTGGCACATGATGGCATATATCACATTGGTGGATGTGCAGGTGAACGAGCCTCTGATAGTGTGGCTGATGTTATTAGGCCCTGTGATGGTGTCCCCTGAATAGATATGTGGGCACAATTGGCAACGGGCTTTGTTGCAAGGATAAGTTCCTGGGTTAGTGGTTCTGTTGTGTGGTATGTGGTTGTTGGTGAGTATTTGCTTCAGGTTGCGGGGCTGTCTGTAGGCAAGGACTGGCCTGTCTCCATTCCATCAACAGTCAATGGGATTCAGACTCCTAAGTACCTAAATCCCTTTTGAAATGAGATTTAGGCCCCTAAATCAATTAGGCACTGCATCACTGAGCACAGCAGCACCTAAATACCTTTAAAAATCTGGGTCCTAAGTACCTTTGAGGACCTGAGTCTAAAGTGCTTTTGGAATTTTATCCTTTAGCTATATTATTATCATTAGGTTGGCATTTTAGTGAAAAGGT